TCCGGAATGCATACCGTTTGTTCAGCCGCGTGGTATGCTCCCGCCGCTGCGAGTTGGGCATCGCGTAGGTGTTGGTGAAGTCGCCCAACATGCGACTATTGGCGATCCACGGGATGATCGCCCCAATCGACCGGGGCATGCGTGGGCCCCGGAACCGTCCCCGTCGTTTCCCAAAGACCACCAGCACCACCACTGTATCCAATGCGATGATGATGAGGGCAATAGCTAGCGACGGCACGGACGGGACCATAGCCCACGTGTTCGAGATCACCGTCCCGTTGGCGGCGGGACGGGCCTCTTTCAATGGCAGAAGATACATGTTCCGCCACACCGAAAAGTAAGTGGTGTATACCCACTGATATACCTCCTTGGAATGCTCCATCAGGGCCTCAACCTGCAGCGGTAGAACATGCGTCTGGCTCTGTTTGTACAGCCGGGCCACCAGAAACCCGGCCCAATCGTACGAGGACACATAAGACCCGTTGTGCCCCGGTTCTTCCCCAACAAAGCTCTGCGGGATAGCGGCAAAGATCTTGTTGAACTGCCCCATGGCCGCGGTAGCATTCTCATACATGGCACCAGAGGTGATGGACGTCCCGTCAAGCGGGTCGACATCGGATATTTGGCCGCGTTGATCAAATGTAACGCTGAAATTTTGCATCTGCACCCTCGGCTCGCAGTGAAGAGCGATGGTATTTTCGTTGGTATAGGCTGACGCAGCGGTATAGTTCCACCGGCCGACCACGATGAAGGTCGACTCCTGACACTCGTCCCGGTCGGAAGAAGCCGAGGGTGAGAGAAAGTGAATCGAGAGCGCAATGGCTTCGTGGGGTCGCGTCAAGCCAGTCATGTTCACCGTGCACTCTCGACTCGCATTGTTGAAGGGATGATACATCCAATACTGGGTGCGGTCAGTCTGGTGCATGCTCTTTTTGACGTCGAGAGAGACGCAATCGAGTTCGGCGCCGATTCCAAGCGTGGTAGCGCCATACATCACGTCGGGATCTGGATCGGTGTTCCTGATCGGAAGGAAAGTGTAGTTGGCCGCCATCCACGACAACAACGGGACCCCGCTAGACACACTAGTCTGGATCAGGTCGAACTCGGTGAAGTCGGCTGAGAAGTCGGTTTGTCGAAAGTGCGACTGGCTATAGTTGGCATACAACGATTTGGAGGGAAGAAACGAGGTGGTGAGTTCTTGATTGAAAAGACCACCTGCGACCACGGTCAACACCACATTAGCAATACAAGTGAAGGACACCAATCCCAGAAGAACGTGGCGATCCTGGATGGCTTTGAGAAATACGGCCCAAGGGTTCTGGGATCCGTAATTCAATGATAACGACGACTGGGCCGTGGCCATGCCACGTTGAAGATGGACCCAGGGTTCCAGAATGCTTATATTGCGCAGAATAGAATTGCAAAGTGCACCGACCGAGGAGGCAACCACCGACGGTAGGAATGAAAGGACGACTTGCAGGAAGCTTGAACCGGACTGGGTCAGATGCTGGAAGCTGCCGTCATGCGCCAAGGACGCAACCGTCAATCCCATGATGGTAATGATTGCAGCTAAAAACAGGAATTCGATGATGAAGATCGGTACGACCAGAAAGTGGGGCATTGGGTCGACGCGCGTCCGCGTTTGGTAAGGCAAGATCACTGGCGAACCTGCACCGAGTCAGCAAAGTATTGTCATTATCTGGAACCAGGGCAGCCTACCATCCGCCGAGACAATTCCTAAGCGGGGGCCTTCCGGGCCCTGCTGCCATTGGAGGCGGCAGGTGTTGAGAATCTGGCGTAATTGGCGCGTGGAGAACTGATGGAACTCCGTCTGAGGATCGGCCAAGATGTTGGTCGGCCCAAACACATCGGTCAGCATACTGCACATGGCCCCGATGGAGCCCGGATCACTCTGCAGGATATTCGGGCGGGACTGGTAGAAATAGATCAAGCAGACGGCGAGCACAATTCCACAGGCCAGTAATATCTCCGAGCACCAAGCAGCGAAGGTGACCACCGATATCGTGACCTGGGTTGAGAATCGCAAGGCGGGCACGCTGGTCGGTTCCTGGTCAGGGTTGAAGAGCCGCGCGAAGGTGAGCACAAACGTCTGGACAACGCCTCGTGTCACTTTCGACTCGAACTCATCCGGAGTCATCACGGTCGATGCATCCAACACCAGCAGCGGCTCCAAGTCGCGCACGTTCTGACTGATCACGGGTAGTTCCGTCACGGTCGTGTCGCCGCTGGTCTGATTATTCTCGATGAACAGCATGTCCCCCGTGTACGGCGCACGTTGCGCTAGCAGTCCTTGGAAAGCGTTGATATTGAACAGCTGGTCGGACAAGGTGGTTTCGGTGTCAGGAAAGACGGTGACATTGGTGATTGAACTGTTGGCGTGCATACTCAGTCGCGCGGTCGCTTGGCGGTAATCAATCTTGCAGGCAAATATCGTGGCTGTTGAGGTGAAATCGGATCCCATTTCGCTGATGCTGTAAGCTCCGGCCTCGGTCGCGTTGACCGAGAGAACGATGCCATACAAGTCGTAGGGGTTGTCGCAACCACGGGCAGTGAACGCGGAGCTCATATCCGGAGAATGGTGTGACCGGTTGGGCCAAACAGGCTCCCAGTAGCGAATCTGCAGGTAATCGGTGTTATCAAAGTAAATATTCTTATAGTGAAAGTCCAAGATGCAGCCGTTGTCGCTTCCGTTGATATCGGGCAGTTTGACATCAGTCACGTTCCACGAGACGGCCGGTGGGTAGGTCGAGTTATCGTTCACGGACACGGACAGGTGATTGTCTATCATGACATCGCGACAGGATAGTTGAGCCCAGTAGATAGTCTCGTTTAAGGTCCACACGGTGTTCTCCTGCCGATCTTCGAGGCTGATTTCGACCGGGGCCACGGCGTAGTTGGACGAGCGGGAGTCGCGCAGTTGTGTGTTGGTGGTCAAGACTGAGGCGAGGGTTGTGTTCGGACTGCTTTCTTGCGAGAACATCCACTCCGCCTGGTGGTCGAGATCCAACAACTGCGGCCATGTTTTCATGTCGTCGTCGTCGAGCATGTTGATCTCACGGAGTTCGAGGAGGGTACTCTGCAGGGCGGGGAGAAACATGCGAATGAGCACGGTGGTGACGGAAACCAGAAGGACGATCCAATGGCGGCGCCGTGCCGAGGTAAGGGGTGTGAGGAACGACTGGCCAAAGTTGTAGTTGATGAAGAGGACCGACGCGGGGGCACCCTCGGGTCGAGCGATCTGGAAGTAGGGCTCCAAGCGCAGTACATCGTAGTCAATAAAGGTCCAGAGGGTGACCAGGGCCAGGGCGGCGATGATGGGCAGGTAGTTGTAGGCGAATGACTGCAGGTTGGAGACATTGTCGGTGTCGGAGAAGAAGACCAGTCCTCCATATTGTTCACAGTATCGCCGCAGAACCTCCAATGTTATCAACGAAGCGAACATTATTGCGGTGATCAGGGTGAGAAACATGGGGCGCAAGGCCATGGGCCGCCATGCCCCCAGAGGGGTGGTTGGCGGGAGCGGTGGTCCATCGGGCGAGGTTTGGCGCGATCGGAGGAAGGGCGGGAGACGATGACGGTCTAGAAGGGAGGTCAGTGATAGAGCAACCATCGAGGTTCCAAGGAGCAGCACGCACTGATGACAGGCAGCCAGAAGTTATAGAGTTTCTTTTCCAGGCGCCTGAACATACTTGATGAGGCAGGCTCTGGAGAAGGAGAGGGCGATGGCTTTGGGGGGAAGGGCGGCGGACGGTCATGGCCCGAAGGAGGATTGCTCATGGACGACAAGACAGAAGCTGACGAAGCCAAGAGACGGGATCATCGCCGGGGGTGGGTGGGGGAGATGGCGGACGAAAATCGCATGACGGCGGACGGAAAGATCACCGTGCAGGCGATAGATAGGATGGAAGAGAAGAGAAGAAGAGGATTGGGAGAAGGAAAAGAACGGAAGGGCGGAGGAGGAGGCGGAGGCGGAGGCGGAGGCGGAAGACGAAGACGAAGACAACGATTGAACAACCAACGTACGAGGGTGCGAAAAAAAAGAGTGGGTGAGGGAGGG